AATATTTTTTTCCTGCCCTGAACTCCAAGATTTTTTCTTGGAACTTCCTTATGGAATATACCTGTTGACTGATTAACTGATGAAGCTTATACTATGTGCCAGGTATGTATACAGTCCTTTTCTATGTACATTTTCAGTGACTCCCCTGCATCGCTTAAAAATAATTAACTGATTCTCTACAAAAATAGTAGAAATATGGAGGTCATTACCCTATTCCTTGAGATCCATATTTAGTTGCTCTTGGAACAGGGGACTTTTTAAGACTCTTGAGCATAGCCAAGGTTAAGAATCACTAATTTAATTCCCAATCCATCCGGCAGATTATCTTAATAGTTATTAAGACCTCAGGAAGCTTTAAAACACAAGCAAAGGGCAAGCATTGTGGTATAGCCAGTTAAGTCACCACCTATGATCCAAACATCCCATACGGGTGCCAGTTTGTGTCCTAGCTGCTGGACTTCCAAATCAACTCCATGTAAATGGCCTGGGAAAGCAGCACACGATTTCCCAAAAGTTTGGGCCTCTGCTCCCATGCAGAAGACCTAAAAGAAGCTCCTAGCTTCAACCTGGCCCAATCCTGGCTATCTGGGGAGTGAATCAGTGAATAGAAAATCCCACCCCCCTCTCTGTGCAACTCTTTTAAACAAAACAGTGCATTTTTTTAGAAACACAAAATAAAAAATAATGCACACACAAATTCTGGGGTTCTACCAAATCTTACCAAATCTGAATCCCTGGAAAATAGTCTTGATGATCAAACAAAGGACATCTCATATATGACTATTCCCATCACTAGAATTGAGAGTCACTTTCTTGATCAGACATCTTCTCATCATGACCACATTAAAGAACTCCTACATCTTGGTGCTATCCCTCCCAATAGGGTCTGTGAACTCAGCAAGGACAGATTTACATTTAATGTGCTTTGGGGAGCTACCCACACCCAGCAAACTCTCTCATACATGTATGTTCTAGAAACTGAAGAATCTAGAAAAGAATTTGTTAAGACCCTTGAACACCTCTGCAGCAGGCAGTGTGTCCTCAGACTTTCTATTTCTCTGGATTCAAGTAACCATGATGAAAAAAATTTGGAGAATATCTGGCATCTGCTCTAAACAGATATAGACGTTTTTTGTTTTGCTTGTCATTATTCCCTATGTAATACAATATTGCAGCTGTTTATATAGCATTCTGTTAGAGGACATACAAAATTTAGAAGTTATTTAAAGTATGTGGGAGGATGTATGTAGGTTGCATGCGAACATTACACATGTTATGTAAGGGACTTACACAGCTTCAGACTTTGTTGTCCACAGAAGGTCCTGGAACCAAGATTTCTTTAATACCAAGGGAAAACTATACTGATTATCTTTGTACCAAGATTTATTTTATTTAAAAAAAATTTTTGAAAGGAAAAAGACAAGAGATCTCTGATCTGCTGGTACACACCCCATGTTCTTCCAACAACCAAAGGAAGGCCAGGGCAAAGCTGAGAGCCTGGAAATTAATGAAAGTCTTCTATATGGGTAGCAAGGACTTAACCACCTGAGTCCTGACCTGGTGTCTCACCAAGAAGCTGGACACAGGAGCAGGACTTGGCCTCAAACCCAAACATCCTGCTATTGGATGCAGGTGTCCTAAGCAGCTTCTGGACCTCTACACCAGATGCCCTGCTCTAGATTTCTGACATCTGATACGCCAACCTGGAAAGTGAGCAAGTCATTTCACATCACGTGCACATCACAGGTGCATGGCACATAAGTGCCAGAGCCAGGATTTGAATCTAAGGCCATTTCTCCATGCCTCGTTCCTCAAAAGCAACTTCCCGGTGCAAATTCCGTCTTCATATATGTAGACGTATGACATGCTCTTGGGCATGTTTTCAACATCTGAACATAGCTCATCCCCTGATGGGAAAAAATTCTGTTGGCATCATAAAGTGTATTTGAAAGAAAAAGAAATGTGTTGGGTTAAGGCTGAAAGATAATTATGGAATCGAATGGACATTCTCTCCCTCTCTTGAGTTTCTCCTTCCTCACTGCTGGACTTACATGCTCATGGAAAACACACCCTCTGTTCCTTGCCATTTCTTGATGACTACTTGTTCCTGCATGGGTCGATCTTCGAGTTTTTCTCCCTTACTAGTTCATGCTGCCACTCAGTGACAGTAAAGTAACCCAAGTCCCTCATTATAACTGAAATCTTTTAACATATTCCGATACAGTTTGCTTAGGTAGTAAATTGGCCTCTGGTACCTACTTCTACCTCTTTGTTCATTGTGAGTATACACAGACAGTGCGTACATGACATTCCAACAGGACCTGGATACTGTGAGAGCAGATTCTGTGTGCCATTTCTAAGCTAAGAGACTAAGGACATGGAAATTCTATAATTTCCTTTACTAAAAAAAAAAAAAAAGAAGAAGAAGAAGAAAGGGAGGAGCAGGCATGAAGCACCCCGGCTTGAGAAACTTAATCCCATCTTCAAGTGCCTGGGTTCCAACTTCCTGCAAATGCACGGTCTGGGAGGTACCAAGCGATACCTCAGGTATTTGGGCCTCTGCCACTCACGTGGGAGACACGGGCTGAGTTCTTGGCTCCTGGTACCAGCTTAACTCAACCCTGTCTGACGCTGATGTTTGTGTGTGTGTGCGTGCAAGTGCCCACACCCACATGATTATGTGTGTGTCATTCTCTCATCCCCCACCCCCACCTTTCAAATAATTTTACACTTTTTAAATATACAATACAGTTGTTTTTTTAAAAATGAAAGAAAAAGGGGGTCTAGTTTTCTCCCAATGAAGAAATGTTATGGTCCTTTAAAACAATAAATAATTTCTTGAACTTTATATCAACACTGAAAAAATTTGGCCCTTATGTTACCAGCTGAGGTTTTAAAGAGAAATAGAAACACTATAACAAAAGTCATAAAATTATTTGCAGTTTGTCAAGTGTTGATACCACCACAATTTCCTTTGATTTGCCTAACTATAAAATAATCACCATTATCCCCATTTCACAGAAAAGGCGGTTGAGACAGAAAAAGCTAACTGATTTCTCCTTAGTAACAGAGTCATGAAATTGCCAATCTAGACCCCTCTGTAGCCTTGCACCTAGGAGAGCCCCAACAGTCACAGGCCGAGGTGGACTTCAGAAGCTGCATGGGTTTGACATGTTGGGGTCACTCCGTGGATTACCTGTCTGTCTTCCCAACTTATTTCCCTGCCCAGGCACCTTTAAATTGGTTTGGAATAGAATACCAAGTGAGGATTTATTCAGCCTATCATTTCCACATCTGTGCTTTTCCAAGAAGCTGACTTTTTCCTGATAAAACAAGATAGATAATGATAAATGAGCATCTGTATAAGCCTAGCTGGGAGGAGGACCAGGGAGTGCTAACGCTCCTCCTGTGAAGTTCATCCTGTTTCTTTTAGCGATTTCTTTATTAGTTAATGAGGTCTTGCGAAAATGTGTGTCTGTGATGGTGTTTGAGCATCCTTGCCTCTAGGAACATTTTCAAATATTCATGAAGTAGCTCATCTGACCAAAGCTTAAAGCAAAGGTGCATTAAGTATGAATTTAGTCAACTTCAAATGTGGGTGGTCGAAAAGCTTCAGCTTAAATAACCCCCGTAATCCTCCTCACTGGTGCTTCCAGAGCCACAGCTCTGGGCACACACGCGAAGGGTGACAGGGAAGAGGTATTATTTAGAACAACTCAAGACTCTGAAGGGCAGGCCCCCTCAGCTTTGATCCTGCTTCCTGACTGACAGGCATGTGGCTCGCTTTTGGAAAATGGAATAACTTAAGAGAAACAAAAATAAAATGGAAGCGGAATTGGCAGCTGAGCCTCTGGGAAGGAAAGCAGACACTCGATCACATTGTTCCTGGAAGGCGAAGAGACCTGCTTCCCACTTTGGACTCCTGATGGCAAAGAGGGAACAGTCCAATCTCAGGAGCTGCTTTGTCAGTCAGTGATGCATTTGCAGAGCCAAAGCAAAGGGGCAAACTCCAGGTAGCTGTAAGCTGCATTCTACAGTGTAGAAGCCACAGCCATCACTTCTGTGACCTGGTGTTGGAGGGTCCCAGGAACCGCAGCAGGTCCCAGGAACACACACACACACACAGAGTTGCTTTCAGGCACACCCTGTTATCCAATCATCCCAAAGCAGGACCAAGCAATTCCTTTATTTTTTTTTTTTAATTCTTATGATTCTTTCCCCCTGAAACATTATTTAAAGGAGTAGACAGTCTGGCTTGGGTCTGGGTGTCTAGATTGTATATAGCATGCTTTGACTAAGAAGCCAAAAATTGCAGCCTGATATTCTCACTTCCTGAACAAGTACCGCTGAGCTGCCCCCAATAGGGTGCAGTGTCTTCCTGACCCTACAGCAGTAGTGGCTCCAGGAACGAATCCTGGACAAATCCTGACCACCAACCCCACACGACACAGCAATAAACCACGACAACCATGGTAACCCAATGCTGCCTGCCATGAACTATTTATCCTCATAACAACCCAATTTGTGTCACTGCCACTGATTCATTTATTCACTGGAATCTTTAATGTTTTGCAACATCGAATTCTAAAAGCAAATAAGCTCAGACTCATGCTTCTGGAAGGAGTCGGCCGCAGAATCCCTCTCAAGACTAACTGGGAGAGACAACATCTGCCATTCATGAAAAGCAAATCACACAAACATGTCTTCGTTAGCTCTGTGGTCAACTGTTGATCATTTTCTCTGGCTTTCCATTTCCCCTAAACGTGAAAGAATAGCATCAGCGCTACCATCACGCTGCCTTGAGAAATGCTCAGAGGGTCATGTCCTTTCTCTAACTTGCCTCTTGCCATGAGGACCCCGTTGTGCACACTGGCAGCCATGATGACTGCAGAAGTATGAGTTCATGTCAGTTGTCCTAGAAGTAATTTTGCATTTCTCAGAAGATAATACTGTTGCATCTGGGATTTGACTAGTGTCGTGTACTTAATGTTCTCTTCCAGGTGATTCACATCACAGGACGGCTCCGCCTCAGAGTGTCGCTGTCCCATGGGAGGACCGTCCCCAGCCAAATCATGGGTCTCGTGGTTGTGGCTCATGCCTTGCCTCCCCCGACGATCAATGAAGTCAGAATTGACTGCCATATGTTCGTCACTCGAGTAAATATGGACCTCAATATCATTTACTGTGAAAATAGGTACTTTGTTTTCATTTTCATTTGCCCTGTTGCACGTTGAGCATTGGTGAGAGTTTGTGTGTTCAGCAGTCGGAAGGATTTTAATCTCCCAATGATGCACATTAGAAATCCTGATTGTATCTTTAATGGCTGCTTGGACTGACACCAAATATGCTTTTTATTTGAAATTTACATTGCTGCCCTGATCTACCTGAAGGAGAACAATTGAGTGAGTCAGGACACCCAAACATCCATATGCTGCAAAGAAAGTCTGTACTGGCTGAGATGCCAAAGAGAAGACTGGGCAGGGATGAGATGGGCAAAAGGATGAAGCGGAAGGAATCTGCCACTGCCCATTTCCAACTTACTCAAGGGCCCACCGTTACCATGATCAGTGTGCCCACACACATGTACACACAGCACAAATGCAACCAATGAGAAGTCAAGAAACCTACAAAATGATTACATAAGATCTTGTCATCCTGAGGGCTTCACTTTTATAAATTAAAAAAAGATGACTCATCAATGTTGGTGGTAGTGCTTCCTCAAAACAGCTTTTAGAAAAAAGCATTTTTTAGCCTCTGGTTAAAAAGTTCACTTTTTCTACTGAGCACAAAGCAAGGGACCAGGAAATGGGACAGTGCCCTTCAGATGCTTCCTAAGAAGCCACTAGCCCATCTGCACACTGATTCTGAATGCAGGATCACAGGGCAATGGAGATGAGGAACCAATGTAAAAGTCACAGAAGGAAGGTTTAGCATTGCCTGCACCACTAGTGCCACAGAGAGAGGTACTGAGCCGTGGCAGAGTAAGGTTTTGTGGCCAAGATTCTTTTGGGGCTTAAAAATCCATGTTTGTTCCCTAAGCTAGCACTATAGTACTTTTGGAGGAGGAAATAAAACAGCAAAATGACCAAATAGCTTGGGTGATCTCTTCAGGGCCTGCCAAGAAGAAGAGAGTCCTGCCTTCAGAACTGGGTAGTACGGCAGATGTTCAGATCAGGTTAGAAACCACCTACTATTTCTGGCCAGGATGTAATGCAGAGAAAAGATATCACAGCAGGAAAATGCACCCACCTAGGCCATGAGTCTTGAGTCAGGTAGAATACATCATGAACCTGTCACTCTTACTTGATCTCTAACACTAGCAAGTCTCTTTTCAAGTTATTTTTGGCACTTAGTAAATTTTTTGTCATCATGACTACATACTAAGGTATTCTGGACTGACCCCAGAATAGAAGGAAGAAGGAATTAGCTGAAATAATTAGCTGGAGTTTTCAAGTAATAATAGAGAGAGCTGATGATTACTGCACATTTCACTACACATCTCACTAAACACACCATCTCATTTAGATTCACCCTTGCCACACTCCCCAAAACACAGAGCCCTGCACTGTTCATCTGACTCCCAATGGTGGCTATTAGCCCAAACACCTCTTAACTTCCATTCCTGTGATGAATGGGTTAAATCATCTGACACACTCCATAGGCCCCAGTGCCTCCTGGGGCCACTCTAGCAAGGGAGATTATTTTCTGCAACCTGCTTTGAACTTTGTTTCTGCCCATTTACAAAACTGGTTTTCACCACCCACTATTAGCCTGTACAATCCAGTATGTCTCCTCAACTAACAATGATGCCAATTATGAAAAAGGTATGTATTCAAGGCAATTGCATATTTTATAGGAGGAGTAAGAATATCAGTTTCCAGACACTGGACTATGTCAGCATCATCCATTCATGAGTCTCTACCCCTTCCACACAGTTTCACAGCATAGGAGACTGAGGGCTAGAGTCCAGCAAGGCACCAGGATTCTGATCCTGCTCAGGATGACCTGCCTGCCATTTTGGCTTCTGGACATCTGTCAGGAGGTCACTGAACACAGAGTTGGCTGCATGCACCACAGTGACAGGTTCCCTCGTACATAAGAGGGGTTCAATCATTGGAAGGATTTAATTCACATAAAGGATAAAGACATGGCTTACACACACACACAGAACTGGCTTTTTCGTGGGGTTTCTTGTTTAATTAGGGAATTGTTAACTAGCAACTCCCGCTCTCTGCTGATTCTGCCGAGTATTCTTCTCTGTTTTCCTCAGGACAGCCTCAGGCAAAGCCAACATCTGATGCCTTTAGAGGAGCTGGCACATTCCAGAAACACCAAAGAGGGCCTTTAAAAAATATCCTTGCTTCCTCTCTTGCAGAAGGGAGGTGGGAACTGTGCTGGGAAAACGAAGAACAGTTTCAGGAAAACTACTAATCCGCTTTGTATCGGAAACCATGGACTGCTTAGAAAATCTGCCTTTTGATTTCCTCCTATTAATCATATCTTCATAAGAATTCTAGTGTGGTCCAAAATGCTGTTTAAATTTCTAGACATTGCGGAGTTCCCTCCTTGGGTAGTCTGCTTAATTACTTTCTGCGGAAATTTGTTTTTATTGCCCTTGCTTTGGGGGCTAGATGCCTAGAGTCAACTCTTGTATTTCTTTAATGTGTCATTTCTAAGGCTACATGTGTGAAGACAAGCTTTGTCCTAAACCATGAGGAAACATGGGTACAAGGGCAAGTGGGCATTTGGTCCAGTGGATACAAAGCCAGTTGCAATACCCATGTCACCTATCAGAGGGCATGAGTGCAGTATCTTCCTCTAGCTCGTGATCTTGGCTTCTCACCAGTACACACTCTGGGAGGCAACCGTGATGGCTCGAGTGATGAGTTCCTGCAACCCACCTGGGAAAGCTGGATGGCATTCTTGGTCCCTGACCTTGACCTCTGCTAGTCCCAGTCACTGCCAGCATTTGGGGAACAGACCAGCAGACGGGGGAAGCTACTCTTTTGTGTCCTGTCTCTGTCTCTCTCTTTCCCTCTCCCTGTTTCTCTCTCTCAGACATTTAAATTTTAATGCAAACACACACACATACGGCAATAACTAGGAGAATAAACAAACAATCCCTACACACACACACACACACACACACACACACACACCCCTAGATTCTATTGTGACCTGGCAAAAATGAATCTACGTGATGACACAAAGAGTCATCAGCATTGTGACATTGTGACATGTTTGTAGAAACCTGCTAACGCCCCCAGTGTGCTTTCTAGAAATAAGGGGTCCTGGTTCTCTGTCCTGCCTGTGGGGCTTTGACGTCTGGACAATGAGGACAGAGGCTTACACACACACACACACACACACACACACACACACACACACACACACACACACACAGAGTCAAGCACAAGCCTGCAAGAGCTGCTGTGAAATGGTTGAAAAGTTTCTGTGCAGAATCACCACAAAGTACCAGTTAAAAGAGCCAGGAGTGAAGGCTGAGCTCCCAAATGACTAAGACTAAAAAAGATAATACCCCCAGGCATCTGTATGTCTCAGCATTTAAATTATATCCCTTGAAATGCCAATTTGGACTTTGTGCCAAGAAGCAGTTGAAGCCTTTTTTCATGGAAATACGCCATAGAAGACCAATCTGTTGAAATGAAAGGTGTCTCTAATCATTTGGTATAAACATAACATGTTTTTATTTTATTATGTAACCTTGAATTATCTTGGCCTGTAATGAGGATCTCGCATTGTTACTGACGTTCCTAATTTCATGGAATTATGTTGTCTAAATGTGCATTCTAATTCCAGCAAAAAAAGAAAGAAAAAGGAAAAGAAAACCCTATCTAATTTTCAACTACAATTGCTTTATCTTGCCCGTTTCTTACTTTGGACAAAGTCAGTTACACACTCAGGAAATAATCTCACCCATGAAACGGTTTTCCCTCCGAGAGCTGTGTCCCCACGGGCACCGTGGTAGGGCGGCAATGTGTGAGCGGACCTGCTCCTAAGGTATTTGACAGTGTCTCCGAGTTCCCTCTTCCCTGAATTCCAGCCTGTGTTCTTGTCCTTGTAGGATTAGTGATTACATGGATCTGACCCCCGTGGACATTGTGGGGAAGAGGTGCTACCATTTCATCCATGCCGAGGACGTGGAGGGCATCAGGCACAGCCACCTGGACTGTAAGTACCCGCTGAGAGAGAGCATCTCTCGGATGCTCCGGGGCTCTCAGCGCTGACTTTTCCTTTCATTCTTCCCGTGTGCACCTGTGAGGGCTGTCGGTGTGCAGCAAGAAAAAGCGAGACATAAATCACTTCGGCGTGGGTTAGGATGAGATTGAACGTTGGACCTCGGGCTCAGAGAAATTGCTGGCTGGCTCCCTAGGCACTCAGCTCAGATTTCTGCGGTCCCTCGAGCTCTCTCGCACACCAAATGGTAGAAAACCTCTGTCTTAAGTGCTTCCTTGACCCTTTCATTTTCTAGAGAACAACTTCCCCTCTGAAACGTGTAGTCTCCGTTTCAAAATATACATGGGAGACGACAAGTTCAAAAGAGGCCAGGGCTTCATAAAAATGCCTACTTGACTAACCACAAAACGGGGGCAAGGGGAAAGCCCGGAGGCAGCGGTGGAGCACACTGCAGGACAGCACAGCTGTCAAACACTCTGGGTTGTTTTTTTTTCTCTCCCTGTATTGGTAGAAAGAGGAGGATTCAGAGGAGCAAGTCTCCCTACCACCCCGTCCCCTCCCTCAAATCTGAGGGAAGACAGACACAAATGACAGCTCTCTGAGCTCAGCCCCCAGCTGCTGACCCACACGTGGCTGACCATGGGAGGTGAACAAGGTGGTATGGCTTGGAGTTCCCACACCGGCATCATCACAGTCTTCCCTCATTGGACGCCCCTGGGTTATCCACACCTTATGCAGGCAGCATCCGTCAAGAGCACTGACCCAATGAGCTATTTTAGAGGAGCAAGTGGCTTCCTCTCACCAGAGTGTTTCTTAGCACCACTCCACAGACGCTTCCTGAAAGATGAGGGTGCTGCTCACTGTATCTCTAGAAGATTCCAAACCCAGTTCTGAACTGATTTTTAAACACACGTACGGTGCCACAGTTAAAACAATACAGCTTGAAGTAGAAACATCTACACAGTGAACTAGCCATGGGTCTTTGCATTTTCCTTCTTTGCGTTTCCTGTCATGATACAGAAGAGCTACTTCACATCTTTCCTGCCCTTGCAATTGCTGCCCTATTTCAAACCGAGATCTTTCAAAAGCCTGATGGAGACACTGTGCAAGCGGATGTCTCAAAGGGGGGAGCATCTCGGACTCTGTCTTTAGCCTTACGTTAGTGATACTGACACAGGACCAGGTTCAATGTCAAATTCTGTATATAGTGTCTCTCTGCCTGCAAGGCTGCTCTCCAGCGGACGCTGTTCCAACACTGAGCACGTGCCTTCATATGGCACACCAGGGATTTGGGGAACACACTTGTTGCTAAGATTGAATGAGTGTCGTGTATCGCTGAAGCAGATGGCTTTTCAATTAATTGGAAGAAAAAAATGGTGCTGTTCCCTGAAAAGAAACATCAGATTCTTTGTTGCTGGGAATTCAGAGAAAATAGGGGGAAATCATGATCTTTGAAGTACACCATGGCTATGTGTGTATGTAATATAAATATATATGTGTGTGATATATGTAATATAAATATTACATATTATGTAATAAATATATATACACACATAGATATGCGCATATGGATTAGGTTTGTATAACAATATAAGCCAGAAACCAAGACTTTAAAAATAAAAATATTGCTTTTAAGTCAGTGTCAGAGCTCATGTGTGTATGACAACCGAGTGGTTCTCTCTCCTGTTGGAATCTTAATTAAGGTCTGTATTTGGACACAAACAAGCAAAAAAAGATTTTTCCCCGTCAGTTATTACAGTATTCAGAAAGCATCACACTATCTCTCTGGATTTGATTTACAGCTTGAAGAAAATAATTCCTAAGGCACTGTGAGCTAGGGCAGTTCCATTTCTTCCCCGAAAACAAAGGCCTCTAACAAATATTCTTGATATCATTCTTTCCTTCTGCTGGTTATATCGTTTCCAGTAGCCTGAATAATTTCAGAGAGCTGAAAATAAACTACTCCACCATTCACAAGGATGCTAGTCTCCTAATTCTTCTGCTATCTTGCCAGCTAATAAACAGAGAAGGTATGCTTTCAAAATCTGTGATTTTTGTTTTTATTACCTGCTGCTGACATACCAGCTCTTGCTTTATGACTCAACGCATTAACACTGATTGAGTTCACTGTTTTAATACGTACACACAAATTCTAAATTTGAGTTCTTTTAATAACCTTAAACACATGAAAAACAAATAGAACGAGCTGATAGTTCTGCACAGTAAAATACACTTCACGTATTTAGCTCTCCTGCTGTGGAATAACTCCACAATGTCAAGTAGCACACAATTAGTAAAACTGTAGGGGGAGGAAAAAGGAGTGGTTTGATCCTGAAGAATTTTGGTCCTAATCAGATTGAAATTTCAACATTCTTGTAGTGCTTAGTATCTTCAATCACACACACATATACAATCAAACTGATCCCAATGTCAGGTTTTGCATTCTGTGACTGAAATAAAATGTTCAAACATACAAATGCATCTCATTTTGTGCAATAAACACTAACATCATTATAAAGTAAGATGGAGTCTAAAATTGTGTGATGGAATGTCTAATGTTTACCTAATTCTCCAACCAAAGCCAGCCGAGGAACACAATGGCAGAGCGTGTAATAAGTCTTGGTTGTGTAAACACTGGAAGAAAAAGCGAAATGCTAGCACAGCATCTTGCTTGTCCAAAGCCCTAGGCTATTACTGAAGGATGCCTCAACTGTGCCGTCTTGGCAGGGGAAGGTCATGGTGACACAGAATCAGTTCAGGAGTAAGATAGAATTCTAAAACAAAGGGATGGCTAAAAAATAAGCCACATTAACTATTTAGCTTTTCTTCCTAGAGCTACTGATACTGTTCATGAAAGACAGGCTTAAGTCACTTGATAGATAGGAACTATCACAAATAGTATCTTTTGTTTCAGTTTATGGCTAATACTTTCTAAAAAATGCTCAATAAATTTTTAATAACTAAAAGCACAGCCAGTATCACTTCCTTTTTTCCCAATAAAAATATCTGTAAATGCATAAAAATAAACCTGCTGTCCAGTATAAGTAAGAGATCCTTAGCTGTACTAGGATTTGACAATTCTGATAATTCAAGATGCCCCTTAATTTATTCGTTTTGCAAAAAAAAAAAAAAAAGAATCACATGGTTGATGTCCACATGGTAGATTAGGGAAATACTAGGGTTCTGAAAAGAAGAATCCCAAGGAAGTTTGAGGGTTCTCATTTTACCACAGGTGCCAAATACCTCTGTGGTTACTTTTCCTAAGGCTGATTTCATTGATTGTTCAGATCAAACTGACCAAATAGACATTTCAAGGTTGGTATCACAAAAGGTTGGTATCATCTTACTACTTGTTTGGACACCTCTCCCTCTCCAGCACCCTCTGGTTTTCCATTGCATAGGAGCCGTTTCCCTCAGGGCACCAGCCAAGTCTTCCCAGAGTCCCACACTGCCGTCCTGCAGAATGTCAGTGTCACTCTGGAAGGACGAGAGGGCTTTCAGCTGCAGCCCTCTACAATTCCACCTGTACGTACGGGTCCCCAGCAAATGGGATGCTTAGCCCAACACAGACACACGCTGTGCACTGCTCCTTAGTCCCATTTGATCCAGCTTTGTGTCTACAGATGGAACTAAATTTGTCCTTGGATATTCCTAGAGTCTTTCCTGGGCCAAATCAACCACAAGCCACAAGTCTCTAAAAGCTTAAAGAGTGGCCTATGGGAAAACCTCCTTTCTCTTCATCAGCCAGGCGCAAGGCTCTAGATCTGTGGGATTTCAGAGAAAAGGAGCTTACATGTGGTAGTACACTTTTCCTTCCTAGCACCTTGCCCAGAGTGAGAATACTCTGGAAGATTTATTCCAAAAAAAAGTGAAGGACTTCCTGGGTGTCCGAGATCACATGTAATTAAAGTGTAGCCTACGCTAAATGTGGAGAGTGGGTGTTAAAAACAATACAGTAAGCCTATGTGTTTATTTCCTAATTACCAACTTCTATACTTCTTAACAAAATTAATATACAGAGCTACCTGGCGTAATGCATTCCATGCTGTTTTGCATCAATAACACCCCCTCCACTTGCCTCCTGAAGGCGCCTCATCGCCAAATGCAAGCAGACTGCTTAATGCAGGACTAATTAGTATATCCCCTTCCAGTCTGCAGGCCCTCCATTGTAATTCCTTCCTAGCTCATTTTTTTTCCACAACTGAGCATCAATCAAAGTAAGTGCCCTGCCTGCCTAGGCAACACAAGATGTCCTCCATGCATTTGTCATCTGCCACACAAACAAAGGGTGGATTTAATTGTTGATTTGGATTTGCTGCTTCTGAACACAGGAAAAGAAGGCTGCAGGTGAAGGAAGACAGGAAGGCTTGCAGGTGGAGGGGGAGGGGGCGGAGGCATGATCCCTCAGGGACTCCTCTGATCTTAGCCTTCTTCAGGGCTGGGTATTCAAAGATGTAGCTACAGCCTAGGCATGCCAGACTTTGTTTCCCCAAAGCAAATGAGTTTTGTACCAGTTCTTCCATATGCATATGGAAATGTCCATGGAAGGAAAGCCATGTCCTAGCCACCATGTCGGAAGAAAGCAGCCTGCACCATGTGCCTGCCCATTCAGAGAAGACTGCTGCAGGGAGACAAGACAAGTGAAGTGTTAATGCAGGACTTCGTCAGCATTACTGTTCTAGGTATTTCTGTTTTTGGTCCAGTGCCAATTTTGGCTGTTCAAACAGAATCCAGACAGAGGGCCTAACTACCACGTGAGTGTCCCTGCTCTGTGCTACCTGGTATAGGCTGAAGCAGCAATCTTGGCATCCCCTGGGAGCTCATAGAAATGCAAAATTTCAGGCCTACCTCAAATTACTGAATCCAAATCTGCCCTTAACAAGCTCCCCGGCCAACTCACTATTCACATTAAGGCTAGAGAAATACCAACCAGGCTGGTATTTAGAAGGCACTATTTTACACGGAGTAAGTTCCAACCAACTAGACTTCTGAAG